CCCTCTAGGTGAGAGTTCTTGATTATTTTTTGATAAATAATTCGTTCTTATTGCGAAATAGGAGCACTATTTATCAATCTGTAACAAAAGACGTGAGGAAATTCTGTCTTTTTTAAATACAAAAATTTTTGAGGCAAAATACTCAACAATAAATTAAAAAAAAATGAATCCGCCTCAACAATATAGAACTTATCAACAATTAATTTATTTTACTATTTTTTCTGTACTTCTATAACAGCGCCAGACAACATCTTCAGAGGAATGACGCCAATTTTGAATCACCCTGTATACGATGGCTAATATAAAGCTTTTTTTTATATCATTTTGGAAACAGGAACTTTGATATGTTGCCTGTTTTTGAACAACCACGTTTGAAACCTGCGTGAGCAACATTGGCAAAAAAAAAGCCATTTCATAAAAAGTTCAAAACTTTCCTTTACTATAAGAATTGTAAATACAGTGATGTGTATGTGTGAAATAAAACCTTCAGTACCTAACTTTATAACCAGTACTTTGAAACCTTGAAACCTCATCCAATTATTGAGAAATCGCTTTTGAAGCAAATTTAAGAAATGATGAAAACAATTTCAAATATTCGAAAATTTAATTTTGAAAATCCCACTTAATGTAAACATTTCAAATCTGCACGGTGGCTAAATTTAATTTTTCCTTACCTAATTTTGAAACCTGCACTTTGAGATGCTTTGGATCTTGCGAGCTATTGAGAAACAGCTCTTAAAGCTTACTTGAGCAAAACTTCCAACTTCCAACAAAGTGGAAAACTTCCCACTAAATATTTTCATAGTGTGGAAAGTGACCCTTTGAATTTTTGCGCGGTTGTTGGCGAAAGCATCACTATTACCCGTTACAAATTTTCTTCATCCCGTGTGGAAAGTAATAACTTTCGCCACGCACGCTGACAGCGTGACTTTCTCACTGACTGTCAGTTGACTGTTTGACAACAGTTTCACAGTTTTTATTGAAAACTTTATACTTTTCCGGCTAGTTTCAACCGAGGATCAGGAAAAATAGTATACAGTACGCGAGACGGGAGTCGGAGGCCCGCCACTCGTCAACCACGTCAACTTCAAGCAGTGACGGAACTTCTTTAACCGAGTTTCTCAGCCACCAATTTGATACTTTCGCCAGAAGGCATATTTAAAAAAAACTATTACCTTTAACAATAAAAGCTTAATTTGACAAAAATTCAAAATTAATGCTGCAAATTGGGACGCCAGTCATTTACAATACAAATACTCATAAATAAACACCCGATAAATTTATAATTCAACCAAACAAAGCCTGTCAACTTGATAATAAGGACCTTTGAAATGTTTGCCTAAGTAGGTAAACGAAACAAGAAAAACCCAGTTTTAGATGGTAAATATTTGGGGGGCACTAATAGACAAATGTCGATAAACAGCATTGAATAAATTCCGTTTCGATCAAAAAGCAGTTTTCAGTTTACCAGCAAGAAGAGCAGTATGGTAGTGCGCAAATATTTGTATCTAAATTATTTGATTTTCATGGAACTGTCTTATTTTTACACTAAGGTTGTCTGAAGGTATCATTCTATAGGCGTTTTGCAAAGAGTTTTGTGACCAAAATGGTTTATAAACCACTAAGCAAAAGGCAAGTGTTCACTTTGCTAGCGATCGGTGCGGCCGACTTTGCCAGTGGAATGTGCTGTTCTCTGCAAGCTCCATTTTTCCCGAAGGAAGTGAGTTTTATTTGTTTTACTTTGCTAAAAAGAACCCCAATTTATGCATTTTGCAAGTGGTGAAAGATATTTTGAGCAGTCGATTCAGAAGACTTGTTTTAGCATTTTTTGCAAAGTTGGGGGCATTCGTAGATACTATTCATGCTTTCAGGATACATTTTTGAACTTTACCGACCTTGTTTTGGTAATATGTGCACTTGAAACTTTCAAAGCTACTTTTTGCGCATATGATGTCGAAGGTTTTTCTTAACAACATTTCAAGATGATTTTTTGAACTGATAAAATTTTTATCATTATGCCATTTTTTACTTCAATTTTTTATGGTTTATTTTCCACAACCAGCGCTGATGTCAAAAAACGAGTTTTCATAGGCAATTAAGATGGTTTTAAGCAACAGTCTCTGAAAGTTTGGATTTATTGCTTTTTTAATATGAATTTTTTAACATTGAGGAACTTTTTGTCATTCGGTTATTTCTGTATTTCAATCTCTCAACGAAAATTTTCTCCAATCAGCTTAGACATCAACAAACGATTTCTTGCGGTTGATTAAGAAGGTTTTGAGCAACACTCTTTAAAAGCTTGGTTTTACTCGCTACTTCCCTTTTTCGAGAAAAAATTTTGAACAACTTTGTCAAACTTTTTATCATTTGGCAATTTTTGTACCGAACTTAAAACTTTGACTTCCATTTTCCCCCAACTAGCTCAGATATCGACATGTAAATTGCCTCAATTTATTAAGAAAAGAAGATTTTCGCAAATAATTTGATTGCATTCGCTATATTTCCAATTGCAACATGAATTTTGGAACTGGCAAACTTTGTCGCTTAACTATTTTTGTACTTGAATTTTTAAAACTGAATTTTTTCAGAACCAGCTCTGATATCGACGAGCAAATTCCGCCAATTGATTAATAGAGTTTTACGCAACAGTCTCTGAAAGTTTAGTTGCATTCAGTGGCGAATTCAGGAGGGAACTATGAAGCCGAAGCCTCTCCAGACACAGTTCAATACAGTACTTTCTATTTCATCGTCACGATTCTAAAATCTGAATTCACTTAATAACAGTTTATAATTTTGTAAATTTATAAACAAAATAATTAAAAATTATGTTAATTCCATCCAGAAGAACTTGAATGTCACCTACGATACATCGATACAACGATGTAACTTTTTTATGACCTCAGCGTACTCCAGGTCAAAATCTTGGATTCGCCACTGGTTGCATTTGCTACATTTCTATTTTCAAAATAAACTTTTACAAACTTTATGTCGTTCTGTCATTTTTGTACTTTTTTTCCAACCAGCTCAGTTATCGACTTTTTTTGACGTTTTGCGCAACTGCATTTGACGTTTTGCGCAACGGCCCCTGAAAGTTTTGTTGCATTTTCTTTTTGAAAATAAAATGTTTGAACTTTGATGAAATTTTTGTCATTTGGCTATTTTTATACTTCAAACTTTAATGAGTATATTACGGTACAAGGGACAAAAGTCGAAGTTTCGCCACTGCTTGAAGTTGATGCGCACAGTGGCGGGCCTTCGACTTTCGCCTCGCGTTCCGTATACTATTTTTCTTGATCTTCAGTGAAAACTAGCCGGAAAAAGTATAAATTTTTGAAGAAAACTTAAAAAACGATTTCAAAACAGTCAGTGACAAAGTCAAGCTGTCAGCGAGCGTGGCGAAAATTATTACTTTCGACACGGGATGAAGACAATTTGAAATGGGTAAAAGTAATGCTTTACCCATCGAAAACAGTGACGAGAATAAGTATTTAATTTTCTTAAAGTGTACAGTTTCGCCACTGTTTTCGATAGCCAAAGAATCGTTTTTATTTATTGCAATGACATGACTATGACAATTTACCTTGCCTCTCATTATTCAACTAAATTTTCTTCATCCGCTCCCGCTGACAGCTTGACTGTTTGTCACTGACTATTTTGACAACATTTTCTTTCAATTCAAACCTTATCTTTTCCCGACTAGTCTCCACAGAGGATCAAGAAGAACAGTATATGGTACTCGAGACGAAAGTCGAAGGCCCGCCACTGCATGCATGACGTCAACTTCCACTAGTGGCGGAACTTCGACTTTTGTCTCTTGTACAGTAATATCCTACGTCATTTGACAATTTTTGTGCTTCAATCGTTAAAAGTCCATTTAAGGTGTGTAGTTTGCAGTTGCCGCCGTTCGGGAAATAAACATACACACGCCCATGTTTCAATTTATAAACCCGACGTTGCTTGAAGTTTGTCGTTTCCATGCCGTTGGTAATTAACCAAATTTTATTTCGCCGGCGACGTCGTTCGTGCAGCGATTTAACCATTGAGAAAGAGTTTTAAATCACGCGAGTGACTGAGTGCCATTTGCGAAAACGAGGCCGTATTTTGTTTGTACTTGTACAATTTGCGGCACACAAACTACAATAATGCTCAGAAGGAACAGGATGACAACATACAATCCATCAATCTGAATTATCAAATTCCAACGTCGGTAGCTGCAAACTGCACAATATAAATCATCAAACACGAACAACAGCAGCTGCACGAACGACGAACGGCACCAACTGGAGAGTTTACAATAAATCCAGCTTTATGCCCATCCAACTCAGGTACTGAGAAGCGAGTTTCCACAATCGATTAAGAAGATATTGCTTAACTGAAAGATTGCCTGTATTCGCGACATTTTCTCTCAATTTTTGAACTTTGTAAAACTTTTTGAAATTCGACCATTTTTACAACGGTTTTCCTTAACAGGGCTGAATGTTCAAAAGAATGTAGAATAATAATTTGTGAAAATATTAAGTGACTTTTATTTATTAAAACGAGGATTAAGAGCCATTTCACACGGGCCACTCTGCAGCGCTTCTCAGTGGCGCTGCTGAGAAGGTACATTGATTTACATGGAGCTATTCACAACGCCGGACCACCGATTTAGCAGCGCTTCTGTGGCGTTTAGTGGTTGAATACCGCCGA